TTGGTAGAAAAGTCAGTTTTTGTTTTCACATAAAAATTCAGTTTTTAGCCGATAGGATGACGTTAACACCGTTTATTAGTGTGTGAGGACACAACATGGCAGTACCATTAGGACAAACCAAAGCATCGTTTCCTCCATATCAGAGTCGACCTTTGGTCATTGTTTGATCAACTGAAAACATTTGTTGGCAGGACATTAAAATGTTAAATTTGGAATTGAAAATATGTAGTCCTGCTCTTGGACAGTTGAAAATCAGTCTGTGCCTGTTTCTAGAGAGGTGGCATATCAACCATATCTGATATTTGACACATCTGATTTATATCTTTATGTTGACACCACTAATTTTCACGACACAATGGCAGTGACCTCTGGCTGTTTCTGTGCTGCTGTGGTCACAGTTAGCAGTCGATTATATCTGAGATTAACGAAGTGCAGAGTGTTTCACAAATCTCCATTTTTAACAAAATCATCATTTAGGAAAATATTTCCTTTTACAAAAAGTGTTTCCAAACTACAGGTGAACATTTACCAGAAGCTCTGAACTATTCCACAGACCTTTGGTCAGGTGATGGTTGTAACAGCTCCTAATATGTCTTCTCCTGGAACAGAATGACTCATGCTCCAACTGATGTTTCTGGCTCTTTTAATCTTCGTAAACGTAAACACCGTGAACACCGTGAAAGACTGAAAAATACAAAGTAAACCATATCTTACATTCCAATCGTCTGGTTACAATCACGTCCCATATTAATAGCATCGTCGGCATGAAAATTACGTTTTCATTGTTTACTGAGACTTAAAGCAAATATGTGCAACAACCCAAAACCATACTGTATGCGCCTTCTGATATGAAATTAGGAGTTGTCACCGCTGATGAATATTTACAGACTTTCTTTATAGATGTGCGTAACTGAACAGAAGATACTCTCCCGCCTGACTACTTCCTGGGTTATAAGAACTTCTTCCTGTATTATAAGTAAGAGCCTAGCTGTATATCAACTCAATATTTTTGAACAAAGAACAAAAAAAACAAACAAACATTTGAGTTCAATAGCTGCTGGCCGCTACAGTGGTGGTGTGTTGGTTCATGGTACCTCTGAGTACAAGTACATTTTATCAAAGACAAAGTCAAAGTGTTTATTTGTCATATGCACAGGTAGGAAACGTGTTTCTCTGTATAATGAAATTTTTACTTTGCCGTCCACCTGAATGCCACAAAATGCAAATGAAATATAAAGTAGATGAATAAGTAACGCACACATTTTATGTGTGTGTCCATAAATATTTTTGGTTTTCATCTCCTTTTTCCTACTTGGTATTTGTGGTGTTCCTGTCTGTGCTGATGGGTTTTATGAAGAATAAAAGATGAAAACAGTAACCGATTTCCTCCCTTGTAGAAGAACGTCCAGGGGGAGAACCCACTGAAGAGCTTCCGATACACCGGGAGCAGAAAGAGGAAAGGCAAAGCAGGCCAGTCATAGCTGCAGTGCATGTGACTGTCAGACTGTGCAGAGACTTTCACCAGGAGGACGGTTTCGTCTCCAGTGTTGACCCAAGTGGACTAACATAAACATTTCATTCGAGGCCTGTTGATTTGGACCACGAACTCAGTGGACTGGGTGCTGATCTACATGGACAGAAGAAACCTCACTGAGACTCTTTGTCCTTTAGTCTGCTGCCGTCTGTAGCTCCACTCTTACCTGGACCGCGATCGATACATCCACAGTTTGATTTCCACAGGTTTAAGGATGATAGCTCATCTCAGTTTGAGAGGCGAGTTTGGTACTGACCTAATTCGAACCACAAAATAAAACACAGACTAAGGTTATTTAGAAAATAACTTCATTTTAATCAAATACACTCAGCAGTACATTAAACCGGTTTAACTCAGGCTGGAGTTCACACGTAGAGAAACATAAAGAGATACATGGAGTTCTTATGGAGAAGACCCTGATCTGCTCTGTATAGGGACCTGCTCTGTGTTATTTTATTGAAGATCAAGCCAATTAAACATGTGCTGCAGTCTCTTTGCCAGATCAGTTGTCCGAGGAGGGGACTTTTGGACATAGCCGTAAACCCTGAAAACAAATTAATAAACAACTTGTATGTTTGTAAAGCTGTGATGGTGCAGCATAATGAAGCGGTTAATACGGTCTTTGCATACCATGAAAGTGTAGTGATCAGTCAATAGTGTATTCAAAAGGATAGTCCTGTGTGGGAACCGAGTCAAAGATGATGCTATCAAACGGGTTCTCTGTGGACCAGCTGTCCACAGGAAACCACGAGTCGTACCAGGAGGTGGTTGTCTCTGTTTTAGGTGGTGGCGTTGTGGTTGTAGTTGTAGTTGTAGTTGTGGTGGTGGTAGTTGTAGCAGGAGTGGTGCTCAGTCTGCCTCGTAATCTTTGCAGTCGCAGCCTGCGCAGACGCATGAGCCGCAGCCGCCGGAGCCGCTCTGCGTTCTGAGCCTCGGCGTGAGCGTCTGCAGCGGTGGCAGCTGTAGTAGTGCTGGCTGCAGTCGCCTTCACTACATTCACTTTGGGCACAAATCGAATGGGCCTGTTCCCACGGAGAGCCATGATTTGTTTGATGCGATCCCAGTTGGATTTGGCCAAGGTGAAGCTGCACACAGTGGCTCCAGATTCATACCCCACCATGCAGAGTCTGGTCTCAGGGGTGTAGCCGTCAGCTTTGGCTGTCACCCTGTACTCTCCAGGGTTCAATAGGCGCCAGTAATCGCCACCTACAGCTACAATGAGAGAGGGGTCACTGGTTAGGAACTGGATTTGCTTTAAAATGCAAAACTGGGAACTGGTCTTGTACCAACCTACCAGTTCTGACATCATGCCGTATTCCCTCCACAGATATGGTGGCATTAGGCACTGGGTTTCCCTCCACATCTCTCACTACACCCTTTATCCCCCGATGTACCTGCACAGGAAATGTCACACCTTTAACCAAGATCAGATATAATCTATGTCTTCCCTTCACTGGGAGGCAACAGGTGAAGCACCCGATGGTGCCAGAGTCAGAAATGTTCAGGTCGTATGCACAGGGACACAAGCGTCTGCTTAGGACCCTGTGGCCACTGCAGGGCCCCCAGGCGCGCTAGAAATACAAGAGAGCATTTAGATTTATGCATATGCAAACTGTAATGGCGGACACAGGATCAGTCTGGCTGTGCTGTCACACCCCTACCCTACTGTAAATTAGTAACTATTCTGATAATTGTTTAGAGCATTGTTACAACATTTCCCACTATTTTCAGAATTTTTACAAACCTGTTAATGAAGTAATGGAGAAAACAGGCTAATCAGCAGATTAATCCCTAATGAAAATAATCATTAGCTGCAGCTGGAACCAGAACAGTTGAACAGAGCTGCACCTCGACCAACTCCAACAGCAACATCCTGCTTTGACATCAGTGCATGAGCAATAATATCCATCCATCCATCCATCCATCCATCCATCCATTTTCCTCCGCTTATCCGGAACCGGGTCACAGGGGCAGCAGTCTACACAAAGATGCCCAGACTTCCCTCTCTCCAGACACTTCCTCCAGCTCCTCCAGGAAAATGCCGAGGCGTTCCCAGGCCAGCCAAGAGACATAGTCCCTCCAGCGTGTCCTGGGTCTTCCCCGGGGCCTCCTCCCGGTGGGACATGCCCGGGAGCAATAATAATGTCATGATGTAATATATAGTAGTCAAACAGTCCCAGGAGACGTGTTTCTGCACTGAGTACTTCTACTGTGAATACTTGAAGTCCTTTGGTTTCCTCATGATGATGGAGACACTGCTGAGCTCTGTGAACTCTGTCAACTCAGACAGACAGAAGTTCTTTAAGGTGCAGTTTGTTGAAACCTGTGACTCAGACTGGTGTAATGGTGGGAGGCAGATTGTGTTCAGGGTTTCAGAGACTCCAGGAAACCACCTGTTAATGACTGTGTTACTCTGATGGGTCAGGCTGTCCTCTGTAAAACCACATCATGAAGATGTGGTTTATGGCCTACCCAAAATACACAAGGAAGGAGCCCCACTCAGACCCATTGTCAGCAGCATCAACTCTGTGACTTACAACATAGCCAAGCACATGGCCTCCATCCTGGCTCCTTTGGTGGGAAACACACAGCACCACATAATAAACTCCCAGGACTTCGTGAGAAATGTCCAACAACTGCAGCTGGAGCAGGACGAGACCATGGTCTCATATGATGTCACATCCTTGTTCACTTGCATCCCCACCACAGAGGCTGTCACGGCGGTGAAGAAGAGACTGCTGAAGGATGACACGCTAAACAACAGGACTAGCCTCACCCCAGACCATGTATGCACTCTACTAGAACTCTGTTTAAACACCACCTACTTCCAGTTTAGGGGGCACTTCTATAGGCAACAACACGGCTGTGCTATGGCCTCCCCAGTGTCTCCTATAGTTGCCAACCTGTACATGGAAAAAATTGAGGAGAAAGCCCTGGCTTCCTTCACTGGCACCGCTCCCAGCCACTGGTTCCGCTACTTGGACGACACATGGGTTAAAATCAGGACCCAGGAGGTAGAGG